CAGGAAACATCTGGAAGCTGAGTAAGAAACATTTAAAGGGGGAGGGAAAAAAAAAAGAAAAGGAAAAAAGCAAGGGGGAAGGGACCTTGGGAACACCATATGATTTCACTTTCCTAAGACAACTGCAATTATGCCTTTGAGGCTTTACCAGTCACTGTAGATTCAAACCATGTTGGATGATGTAAGTGGGAAAATATGAAGGGCCTACTGGATGATAAAAAAAACCAAAAAAGTAAAAAAGAGAAAAAGAGCAGTTTCTGGCATTTTATTTAACATTCTGAGTCAAGAAAAGGGCGTCGTCCAGATGGACTTTTTCCTTATTGCTTTTCTAGGCTTGGTTGGGACCAGCAAGACATCATCCTCCAGGGATTTGACTTTTTACAGCTCCTTTTTTTACCAGGGGAAGACCTATTTGCAGATTAAAAATTCCCTGGACCTGCATAAACCAACAGCCAAAGTGTATCAGGCAGTGGGAGGCTGTAGGAGGGGATGCCCCTCTGGGTGATGCTGGAAAACTTTCCAGGGTTTCTTGCAGCAAGGGGAACCTTAAATTAGAGTCAAAAAGTGGGGGACCACTGCCTGGTGGTGAAGGAAGGAGGAAAGCTCATCCCATCCCAACCTCTGCATAAGGGGAGGGAATCAGTGCTCCCATAGAGACACCCCAGCACCTGCACTGACCCCAAAGTTCTTCCCATTTTCCCAAGAGAGACAACAAGTAAAGCAGAGGGATGGGAAGCAGCAGGACTTTACCAAGGATGCCAAAGCCTCGATTTTCCTTTTCCTCTGAGCAATCTAGTCCACATTTTGTCATTTAACCAGTGAGTCCTGCAGGGCTTTTGCAGAGTTCCTACACCCTTCTCCAATGAGATCACTGGAAATGGAGCATGAATTTCTGCAGAGCCCAGCTTTTCCCTGGCACTGCCCTCAGGATGAGGCTGTGTTGTGACACAGGGAGCTCCCAGCAAAGCAGGGCAGCCCAAGGCAGCCAGCCTGGTTGGAGCTGCTTCCCCCAAATCCCAAAGTGTGCTGTGATTGCAGACAACAGCCAGGACTGCATTAAAACTCACTCAGGCCAATGCAAATCTTCCACTCGCTCCAGCAGTTTTGGTGAGGCTCGTTTTGAGGCAATGGGATTTTGCTGCTTTTATGGGTTATCAAAGCCAAAAGCTCATTTTCATGCAGGCTGGAAACACCAAAACACAAATGTTCCTGGAAAGCAAATATATCAGGACTGCAAATATGGACACATGAACAGTTGTAGTTGGATTCAAGCAAAGGCACACACAAAAGCCTCTCGGAGGGAGGGGTGTGAGGAGCATCCTTGGGATGGTGACCCAAGGTGCCTTCTACTCTAGGAGCAATAACACCTACACAGCTGCCACCGGTCAAGTTTAAACTGTCCAGACTCACTCTGAAGAAGAAGAGATCAGATCAGCAGGTCCCAGAACGTGACCTCTCCTTGAGCACAATGTGGCTGCTGCCCCTGCCTTGTCCCTTCCAGGTGGCTGTGTCAGTGAACACCTCATTTATACATTCAATCCATGCAGCCACTTTACACCCCAGCTGTCCTGGGTGTGTGTGCTTTCCCTCCCCTGACCCTTCCAAGCTGTTAACACTGTCCATGGCTGACGTCCTGAACCCTTTACAAGATTTTTCGGCAGTGACAGCAAACAGCATCTCCTGACACGTTTTTGGTGATGCAGGTCAGGCCTTCTGATAACACACCATGAACACCCTGCACACGATGCTCTCAGCATCCTGAAAGGCTTTGCTGGCTGTTTGCAAATCCTCAGGGAGAGGCAGGAGTGCAAATGAGAATTCAAGTGTTTACAGCTCTCAGCCTCCTCCAGCTCCTCCTTGCAAGGGATTCTCCTGTCCAAACATCCCTTGTGTCCCAGAAACACAGAGACAGCACTGAAAATATATTTAGGGACCTGAGTCACACCAGTTTCCATCAGCTGGGTGTTGAATGGGAGATGCTCCCATTGCCATGTGAATAAAATATTCCTTCACTACTATTCTTTCCACAGGCTATTACCCTGTGCTATTTCAGCTCGTGTTCCAGCTCCAGCCTCACTGTTTGAAGCCAAAACTAATCCTAAATCGTGAATGGATATTAGGCAGGTGAGGTGAAGGTGAGGGCACTGCACAACACGCCTGGCTGAGCTCCCTGAGCACGTGGAGGAGCTCTGGCAGGGCTGGGGGCTGGAGGAGCTGGTCCCTATCAACCACATCCTACTGCTACCTCTGTGCTGCTGCTGCCTCCTCCTCCTCCTCCTCCTCCTCCTCCATCCCCTCCCAACTGCATCTCCTCCCCAGATGGTCCCCCAGGGCTGCAGCCCCAGCACAGCACCCACGGGTGCCTGGTACCTCTGGCTATTTGGCTCAAAAAGTGCTTTACAGCACTGAATTCCCCTTCGCAACCCAATTAAAATGCTCACTCAAGGACTCCAGCAGTCGGATTACAGCAATTAATTCACTTCCACGTCCCCAGGCACATCTTGCTCACTTGCTCCGGCGAAATCAGGAGGAGCATTTCGGTTTCTACCCGAAACCCCCCGATTTCAGCTCTCCCTTTGGTGGCTGGGAACTGAGCCTAGACGTGAAATAATGAACTAAAATCCCTCCACGCGTTGACCAAAGAAAACAGGCTGTCAAGTAGAAATATTCCCTCGCTCCTTTTCAAGACAGCCCGACTCTCCTTCCCATCTGTAGGCATCGCTCTGTCGGGGAGGCAGCGCAAGGAACTCAGCAGGAAATTGTCAGCGACAGCATGTGATGCTGTTTGTAGAGCATAAATCAGCCTAGGAAATGAAAAGCACTATCCTCCAGGTTTTTTTTTTCCAGGTTTGCTCAGCGTTTTATACCTCTGCGGGGATGCTATGAAGGAGAGTTTTTTGGCAGATTAAACCCAAGTCCAACGTTTGCTGTTAGGGCCTTAATTATGTTCAGTCTTCTTAGTGCTGTTTGCATTAGGCCATAATATCTCCCTCTCCAGAGCTCCAGTGACTCCACTTAAGCATGAAAATGCTGGAGGAGAGACTGAATCTCTGCAGGTTTTCCAGCTTTTGGCTCAGCCTGGAGAGTGACAGAAGCCAGGACGATTTCAGTGCCTCTCTCACGTGGGTTTCCCACCACGGGAAGCTGAAGCCGTGAGGGGGGATAATGCAGGAAATTGGGCAGAGATTTCTGGGGGCTGAAAAACTGAATAAGGGTTTTGAAAGGGCAGATTTGTGCAGAGCCCCCCTGCAAACACCAGAGGTTTCTGACCTCCACGGCTGAAGCTGTCAGGAGTAGCCCGAGCTCAGGTACATCTGTGCTGCAGAACTTACAGGTTGATGTGGTCAATACTCACCCTGAAGCAGAGAAACTTTGCAATTGCCCTTTAATCTTGGTTAAAGATGACCTGCACCACCCGTATTGAACGCTCCTCTAGGCTAAAGCAGAGTCACAGAATTATAGAATATCCAGAGCTGGAGGGGATTCACATCATCAAGTCCAACTCCCAGCCCTGGACAGGACACCCCAAGAATCCCACCAGATGCCTGAGAGAATTGGCCAAACACTTCCTGAACTCTGACAGGATTGGTGCTGTGATCACTTCCCTGGGAAGCCTGTTCCATGACATGCAAAGAGGCTGTTTCCATTCTCATCTGGAGCAACACAGGAGAGGAAATGTGTGAAGTTGTCCAATATTTGCCAGAAGACAAGTGGTTCCAAGTCTCATTGGAATCAAATTGGTCCGGTCTTACCACCAAGTGGCATCTGGGTGGTGATGGCACTGCTGGGCCAGGGCACACTGTGCCTGCATCTCCACAGGCTCTTCCACGTCCTTCTGCCTTGGCACTGAGAGTTTTAGGGCTCAGCTCCTTACCCCCAGCCATCCTGCCCCTCTTCCTTCCCAAAAATCAAACCAGAGCTTATGACTGTTCCTGGGAGCTCACCCCTGCTCTAGTAGCAGTTCAGGCTGCAGAGCTGTGAGTTCTCCAGCAAAGCAACAATCAGTACAAATTCTCCCAGCCAGCTGCTCCCATCTGCTCCGTGGGTTGTTTGTGTTTGTGGAGTGCGGAGAGCAGAGTTTTTCCTGAACTCACATGGTTCTTGCAGATCAGTTTGACAGAGTGAGATGAGCCATTTAAGTTAAGCCAGTTCCTTCCTATTTTTTGCAAAACCTACCTGAAAGTTTGGGGTTTGGCTGTGTGATGATGCTGCATCTATCAAAACCTTGGGGGAAGCCTAAGATTTTGGAAAGTCTCGGCTGCTTGGCTGACGAGCTGTAAAAATGGAATGAGCTTTTACACGGCTTTGTGTTCAGCCAATCTTTGTGGTTTTGGGTAGTTTTGCTCAAAGGTGCAGGTTTCACTCAAGCTGCACAGGGAACAATTTCCTTCTTCCCTCCCTACTCTCTCCTGCTCACTCTGCACAATCAGCTTTGGCTCATGGCCCTGGAGACCACGGTGGTGCATCAGGGCTGTGGGTCCTGGAGGTGCAGAGCCCTCAGGAAATGCTGTTTTTGGGATGCTTTGGGCATGCAGGGGAGAGGGTGACTTCAGGCAGGTGGTTTCTGCAGAAGCCCTTGCCTCAGCCTTGCAAGGGTTTAGCCATGGCCAGTTGAACAGCCTGGAAATTCTGGAATAGGAAGAAATTCTTCCCTTTGAGGGGGGCGAGGCCCTGGCACAGGTTGCCCAGAGAACCCTGTGGCTGCCCCATCCCTGGAAGTGTTCAAAACCAGGCTGGATGGGGCTTGGAGAAACCTGGGAGAAGGTGATGTTGCACCAAAAAAATAAGCGGAGAGGTCTCCAGCAGTTCCCACGGTCAGAAAACATCAGAAATGTCCCCCAGATTCAAACTGTTCTGTCCAGTGAAGAGTTATTATGAGGTGTTGCTCGATCAGCCTCACAAAGCCGGACCCTGCCGTGCTCCCCTGTCATCTGGAATGCATTTGGGATAGCGTGTGGCTCAGCCCTGCATCTTGAGCCCAGCCAGGCTCTCGGGTCGTGGCACAGAAGGGCCGCGCCACGTGGTGATGCTGCACGGCCCGGGGTGGTGATGTAATGGTGGGAAGGGCCAGGCAGAGCCTTCCAGCAAACCTGCTGGCTCCTGCAGGGAACTGTTACGAGGGCAGTGGAAAGCTGAAGTGTGAACTGGAGATAATAGGTGAACAATCTTCTGATTTTTGTGTGATATTGATGCTCTTCAGGACGGTTACCCTGGTCCTGAGCACAAAGGAGGAGGGGGGGGAAAGGCAGCGTGGGCTGAAGTGAGCTCAGGCTGCTCCAAGCATTGCTTCAGGGACATGGGTGTCCTCCCTGCCTCGTGCCATGTCCCACAGCCCACCTCAGAGCCTGCCTGTGCCTTTTCTGATCTGTATTTGAAGAGGGAACACTTCCCAAGAGGCCACTTCCCACTTGGTTTTGATTCCTATCTCCTGCCAAGCTGCTGTTCCCCCTTTACAGCTCACCATCTGTTTCCCAAGGGAGAGCACAGTGAGAAGGGCACTTTGTCCTGCTGCCTTTTCCATGGAACAGCAGGGCAGTGTGAGCTGCTGGGATTAAAATGGGGCTTTCAAACCCCTTGGCCTGTGGACTTGGCAGGAAACATCCCATCTCCACTTAAAAAGCTCTGGAACACGAGTATGACCAGGCTGTGATCCCTCTGCCCTTTTTCTGCAGATGTTGAGGTGTCCCTGTCCCCACAAGATCTTGTCCTTGCTGTCCTAATGCCCTTTGTTCCTGGGAAACACCAACAGTCCCTTTCCCATGCCTTTTTCACCTAAACCCTCCTCTCCTGTCATGGTTATTGGCCAGAGAGATGTCACAGAACCATGGAATCACAGACTGCTTTGGGCTGGAAGTGACCTTAGAGATCATCATGTTCCAGCCCCCTGCCATGGGTGGGGACACCTTCCACTAGAGCAGGTTTCTCCAAGCCCCATCCACATGTCCTGGTGCATGTTCCTTTTGTAGAGCATTTGGAAGCAGGCAAGCAGCTGCTGTGGCATTTCTGTCCCCACCAGGCTCAGGATGGTGAACCACGAGCCCAGGGAGGGCTGCACAGCACCAGTTCCAGCAGGGCCTCATGGCACTCCAGGGTGGAGAGCAGAGGCAAAGCATCCCATCCAAAAAGACCTGTGCCAGCCTCACCTGTGAGCCTCCAAAACTCCTCTGCACAGCCCAGGGATGCCCACACCAACCCCAGTGTCTGCTGAGGGGGATTCTGGAAGGTGGTTATGCTGACAGGGAATGAATGGAGCTTCTGTTCCGTGGGAAGGGCTTGGATTTCAGCGTGGGGAGGGAGAGTGTGCTGGGGAAGGGAGAGTGTGCTGGAGCAGAGGGAGAGGCCCTGGTTTACAAAACAAATAACCACTGTGGCTTATAAGCACGGGTAATCTGTTATTCCAAAAGGATCAGGCATAATTTACCACCTGATATCAAACTCCTCTGCATTTTGAAAGGGAAGTTAACAAATGGAAGCTGAGACAGAGAAGTGGAAAGGCTGTTTTTTCCCAAAGCTGCTTTGTTTTGGAACTCCCTTAACCCAGGCTGTCCAAACCCAGCACATTACTCTGCCTCTGGGGACAGGGGTGACGGTGGCCACAGCTTGTCACTGAGACCAGGGAGCACGTTGGGGCTGGAGGTGCTGCCATCCCAGCACTGTGCATCCCATTCCATGGGCTGGGGATGATGCTGTACCCCTCACCCTGGTGCCTCCTGTCCCCTTTCTCCCACCTCTCTGAGGCCGTGCTGACAGGAATGCTGATGGGAGCACCTGCATCTGCTTTGGGGTCAAACCCTGCAATTCCCAAAAGGAGGGGGAAAAAAGTGATTATTTTCTTTGGCAGCTCCATCTGACTCCTGACAACAACTGTGGCCACCCCTTCTCCGTTTATGTGACATCATTCCAGCTCAGTCTGCGGTGGTTAGAGTGGGCCTTTTTGTTTGGACTAATTTAATCTTTCCATTTTCAAAACTGCTGATTCCTATAAACAGTTTTAAGCCAGAGGCTGAGCTGGATGCTCTGTTTCCTTGGAGTATGGCGCTTACCCAGCTCAGCTACGTGAAAATGCTGTCTCTGGACAATCCTTGGGCAATTCACGTCTGACATTCCTGGTGATGGGAGCCAGCAGGAGCCTCCTGCCCCGCTGCTCTCGGGATCCCATCGGAGGTGCTGCCGCAGCTCCGGGCGGTGCTTCCCTGCCTGCTGCAGGCTCTGGCAGCAGGATCCATGAGGAGAACACTAGATGGCAGGTTGAGGCCATGTCTGAGCCTGCCGAGCCCAGGGCAGGGCGATGTGGCATCGGGGACGGCTCGGAGGGTTGTGCTGGCTCTGCCCAAAGGATCTTCCAGATGGGGCGGGTGCAGGATCCTTCCGGCTTTATCCAGCTGCACGTTTGCATGAAACTTCTTCCAAACTCTTCCCCTCGGGCCTCTGGGCCCCCGCCAGGTATGGCAGGAGTTGGCAAGGAGGTTTGGAGAGGAGAGTTGGCAGCTCTGCAGGCAAGGGATGGTCTGAGCACTGGATTTGCAGAAAGTGAGGATGGAAACTAGAAAGAGAGGGAGTGTTTCAGCCCTGCTCTGTAATCCCCGTGCCCCTTCATTTGCAACCCCAGTCACTTCTGAGCTGCTCAGCATGACCTGGAATGAACCCCACACAGGATCAGAGCAGGTCCCACACCCCCAGAGCAGAGGGCACAGCACCCCAAAACAACCCCTGCCAGGCACCATCTCACCATCCCTGTGAGACGTGTCCTCTCAGCAGTGCCTGGGGCAGAGCACAGCACCCTCTGCAAGGTGCCCCCAAAACCAGGACAATCTGGGATTTCTGTCCCAGAAAGGGCGACTTTTGAGGAACGGCTTTTCCTGTGTCCCTTTCTTAAATCTGAACAAGCTGGAATAGCAGATTTATTACTATCCAGGGATCCTGCAGGCACACGAGAGACTGATTAGAGACATTCCAGGGCTTTTTAAGGACAGGGACAGGAGGTAAGGACATCCTCTAGCACGACACTGGCAGTTACCAGGTTTTTGTGTTACCAGGTTTTTGTGTATCTAGAGCGTAGTTTGTAGCTGCTCAGTGTCTCCAAGGGCTGCCAGGAGCTGTGAAAAATCAGGAAGCAAAAGAAGGGGAGCAAGATACAGAGGGCTGTGCTTCAGGTCGGTGTGTAAAAATGCTTGTAGCTCTTTGATTTCTGGAGCAAAACATCATTAAAACAAAGGAGATGGGAGCTGTGGGGTGCTGGTTCTGGGCTCTGAGCTGAGTTCAGTATAAACCCTCCCAGACAGAGGCTGGGTTTTTATCTGCTCTTGGGATTCTGACTTTTAAGAGAAGCCAGTGGTTGGACACAGCTTTTCCAGGCCAATTTTGCAGATTGGAGTTGTTTCACATCAGCCATGGCTGAACTCCTGAACTCCCACACACTTCCCAGAGCTGCAGCGCGGCCCTGGGGCTGGTCCTGACTCCAGGGAAAGCCTCTCCTCCAGAGTCCCTGGGGACAGCAGGGATGGGGCTCCTCAGGGCAGCTTTTTCACTCATGGAGCCTCCAACACTCCTGGCACTTCCTAGTTCAAAGCAGACACTTGGACCTGACAATTTTGGGTGCCAAGAGCTGGAGGAGGCGACACCCAAATAATCAACAAAAATGGCAAACCCCAGTGTTTGGGCTGGGCAGGCAGAGAGCAGCTGATTCACTGATGCTCAGGCAATAATTAGTGAGAAATCCCCCGGGATCTTGCTCTGAAAAGGGAAATCCACTGGTGTGGCAAAGGTTTTCTGAGCATTCCTCAGAAGGGGACTGTGATGAGACCTTGCAGCTGAGGGAGGGTGGAAAGGACATTAAAGCCCACCCAGTTCCAACTCCCTGCCATGGGCAGGGACACCTTCTGCTAGCCCAGGTTGCTCCAAGCCCTGTCCGAGCTGGCCTTGGGCACTTCCAGGATGGGGCAGCCCCTCCAGGCTCTTCACCCCCAGCTCTGTGGGCCGTGCAGGTGCTGGGGCTGCTGTCGGGGAGCCGCCGTGGCCGTGCCTCAGCAGAAGGGAATGTTCTTGCCGAGCAACTTAAAGGCGGCCTGGAACGCTCGGTCCAGAGCTCATGAGTCACCTCCCGCTGCACACGTGGGCTCCGACACAGCCAGCATCCCCCAGCGCCAACAGCAACACCACGTAGCCTAGCAATGGGGAGCAACCCTACAATAACAACCCCGAGGGACTCGCAGCCCTGAGCAGCAGACCCGTATCCACTTGTTGTGTCTGAGGAGGATTTTCCAGAGGGCAGCCGGCACGGTCTGGGATCGTGAGGAGGGAAAGCAGAGGGAAACCATTTGTCTGGTGCAGCCCCGAGGTCAGGGCTGTGTCTGCCTGCTGCTCTCACACCTCCTCCAGCCTTATTTTCCATTCTCCTCATCTGTCTCCCTCCGTGAAAGCTTTTTTTTCTGAATCCTTTTCCCGGGGTGTTACTTGCCTGCAGTCACTGCCACGTGGAGCCCCTCAGACCTCCCCTGGCCATGTGATGTCCCCAGAGCCCAGCTGATATCAGTCAGAGCTGCTGGCCATGGCCAGGCTGTGTTGGGAGCCAGGCCCACAAGCTGCTGAACAGCAGCTTGAACTTCTCCAAGGATTGCAGCAGGCTCTGAATCATGCCTTGACTGCTCATTGCATCTTGTCTGGATGATGCTCCCACATGTGGTTGGCTTTAACCAAGCTCCTCCTTGAAACATTTGAATATATGAATATGCTTGAACCCCTTCTCCAGCACAGGATCCCTCTGCCATGGTCAAGGACAGAGAAGTTCCCTGACCAGGGGAAAATTGTTAATCTAAAATATGGAGACTGGCCCAGCTATGGTCACTTGTAATGTCTTTCAGATTTTTCAGTCATAATTTCTGAGGATTTAATGTCTCCACCTGCCTCTAATGGGACTATTCTCACAGCTATTGCCATAGGTAAAGACTTAAAGTCAGACAATAATTACTCCCACCAAAGAAACGCTGTTTTCTTGTCATGTTCCATTAAACTGTTCACACCAGGAGCCAAAGAATTACTGGCCTTATTGTCTGGCCTTCAAAATAAATTATATTAGAGAGGAGAGAAGACACCAGGAGTGCTAGTGCCCAGGACAATGCAGCTACAAGGCTATTGGGATGTTTAACATATTTTATCTCACTATTGGTTTAATCAACAAGGGTTGGAGGGAGATTTTGGGGAAGGACCCTGGCCTGGGGAAGGTGGCTGGGCAGAGATGTTCCCTCCCTGCTGGGATTTGCTGAGGTTTATTTTCCATCCTGGCCAGTGCCATCGGCTCCATCCAGGCCTCACCTGGGGTGGGTGTGTTGTGGGAGCTATTTTTGCTGCTCCATGAGGGCTGGAATCCACAAACCCTCCCGTGGTGACAGATGTCAGCTGGGGAAGCGAAGGTGCCACAGCCACGTGCTGGCGGCCAGAACCTGAAATTCATTTGATTAATGAGCATTATTGTCATTTCCCCTCGAGCTGGAGAGCCTGGCAGGCTCCAAGTGGCTTGGAAGTACATCAAATCCCCCAAGGAAGAGAGGCAGAGTTTCCAGCCCTCCTGTACGGGGAGGATTCGGAGCGGTTCATCTCCCAGACACCTGCAGACACCCTCACGCCTGTGCACAAAGGTGTGGCTCTGGGGGCTCAATTCCTCCTGCCCCAAGGGCTCATCTTCCACCTTTCTGCCTCTCTGGCTCTGAGGATTAAGAGATTTGCTCAGTGGAACAACTCTGAGCTCCTGAGCTTCCTCAATCCACGAGGGAGGCAGCTCACACGGGGACACCGGGACCTGTGTCTGCCAACAGGACATATGGCACAGGGAGATCAGCACAAGCCAAATCCAGGCCAGGTCTGCCTTGGCCCTTCTCAGGGTGCCACACTTCCCTAGGACATGGTTTTAGCAGCAGACCTTGGGATATGAAATGCCAACCCACTGCCACGCACTGGGAAAGCCAAGTCTGGGCTGACTCCATCTGCATTTACCTCATGTCCTGGGAAGTTTCTCTCTGGCCCACACATCTCCCTGGACTCCCTTCCAAACATATCAGGCAGCCCAGAAGAGCACAAAACAAAAAGGAAATAAATCTTCTTTAAATTGCTTCAAAGTTTTACTTTTTTTTTTTTTTCCTTTTTTGGTTTCTGCTGCACCAGTCCTCACAGACCAAATGTTACCCCTCACCTCTGGATGGGCACAGCAGCTGTAACCCTTTTAACAACACCTTCCTCTCCTAAATGCCAGCCCAGAAGGCTCATGTTTATGTCCATTGGTCTGCATTGACTTCTTTACCTATTTCTGTTTCAGGGCTGATATTGCTGAAAAACTTAAACTGCTTTTAAGACAGAGGGACACTCTGCTGCTGATTTATGTTCTGCTTCAGCCCGATGACATTCAGCTGGTTTGAATGATTTTTTAATTAAGGGGTCGAGGCCTAATGGCACTTCAGGGTTGAAAAATGATCTCTACACACTTACAGGGTGTTTACACCACACGGCCCTCGTCCAGCAAATGTAATTTTAGTCGAGGCAGTGAACTCAGCTGAGGACAGTGGGACGTCTTGGAGCGACACCAGACATGCAGGAGCACAGATGCTGTTGGGGTAGGAAATATCTCCATCAAAATCAGGCTCAGAAAGAACCACTGCATGCCAGCAAACACCCTGAACCTGCTTTCCTTACCTAAAAAATTGTTGACACGTGAGGTGTAATCAGCGCGGTGTTTTGCAACGTTTTCAAATGTTTATTTAACATTTAATCAGCTTCTTCAACATTTGTTCAGTTTCTTCAGGCACTGGGAATGATGTGGCTTGGGTTTGTTTGGGTTCTTCTTCTTTATTTTCAAAATGTTCTACTTTTCCCACTCGGAGGGAACAGTTTCTGCCTTCCTCCTATTCCACAGAGGCAATAAAAAGCCAAATTGTGAGG